ACCATGGTCGACCACGATACTGCCATGGTCAACCATCGTGGTTAACCATGGCTAGCCATGGTCATCCATGGTCAGCCACCATGGTTAACCATGGTTAACCATGGCCAGCCATGGTCAACCACCATGGTTAACCATGGTTAACCATGGTCAGCCATGGTCAACCACCATGGTTAACCATGGTTAACCATGGTCAGCCATGGTCAACCACCATGAACCATGGTTAACCATGGTCAGCCATGGTCAATCAGCCATGGTTAAGCATGGTAGGGAGGAAACGGAAAGATGAACATGGGGGAATTACGAGGACTATGAACGACACCAATAAATAATGTAATTCCTAATCGTCAGCCACCTCTACCCATGGTGAGTCAGGGATACCCACCCAAAGTAACCGCCGCCTACCATTGGAGAACAGGAGATACGCAGGCATGTTGAGTGGTTCGTAGTGAGAAAGGAGCAATAAAGATAGGCATGAGCCACATGAAGCGACAACGAACCACGCTCAAATCCCTTCCGCGCGAAGGGTGGAGGTTCCGAATTTCAACCTTTGGAAAAAAACTACAACTAACTGGAAAGATATGGTGGCTTGCCAAATCATGTGGGGACAGTAGCCAAGCACCCTTTGTCTGTGTAGGAGCTCAAGTTCTTAGGAGGGACTGTATCCCCTCGACGAATGGTTGACCACCATTTTGGCGACTTGTTGTTTTTTCGGAGGGACTGGGTACTACTGTAGGAGTTGTTGTGTGAAGACAGCAACAACACCAAGACTACGACAAAATAACAGGAGCAACAACAACAACAACAACAGCCAACAACCAACCACGATTTAACCAAGTAAGGCCCGACAACCACGCCACGTTTCTCCCATCACGCTATTGCCTCACGAAGACATCCACGAAGACATAGGATTCACCGTTCCTAGGACAAGCACAACGTAGAACAAACGCCTACATTCGTCGTTAGGAAACCAGAGGGAAACACGCCTATATTGAAATAAACAGATGATGCGCCCACGACGACGTGACGCTACGCGCAGCACTATCTAGCGAACTCAATAGTACATGCTTCAATAACACAAGGGCTCACAGGTAGACAGAAAATATGGCGGAAATCCACGTGCATTAGGCCGCAAGGCCAATAAGAACACGACAAGTTTAGTTTGCCAATGAAACCTTGTCCGTATTTTTCTAATAGCCACGTTTTACCCGCGCCAGTAAACCAACGCTACCCCCCTGCAGTTAGTAACTATTCGCACCGGACGACCCAGCGGAGGAGGCCGACGTTGCTGGCGGAAAGCGTCGGGGTACTCAACGTAGAAGGCCTTCCCTTTCAACATAATTAAAAAAGTAAAAATATCTTGCTTCTCACACCCCCGCCGAAGTTGGGCGAGATCCTCACGATCTCGTAAGTACTTCACTACCGGTCAAACGTCGGGTTCTGGGACAAGAGCTTCTTGTCCAGCAGCAGCTCGTTCTTGAAGCAGATGTTGTTGTCCAAAACGAGACGGTTGAGGACCTTGGGCATTCGCATGACGACATGTCGAAACCCTGCAGGACGCAAGGGGCGTGCATGGCAGACATTGTATGGTCGTTAGTGTAGAGGGCTGTGGATTCTCCAGCCGGACGAAAGCAGAGTCCGCGGCTGTCTCGAAGATTATCAGCAACCAATCTCAGCGGGACACAGCGTAGACTACGTAGCGACTCGTGATATCAGGTCAAAGCGTGGAGTAGATGTGTCCAGAATAACCCCGTAAAGGTGCGACGCCGTGTGCGTATTTGGCGCACCGCTGAGCCACCCGTTGTTGGACTCTGCGATCGAGGAGTTCCAGTAGAACTCGGGTGGGTCGGCTTCCACGTTCCACAGGAGAGGATTGTCTTGGTCGTTTGGCGAGTTGAAGAAAGCGCACAATACCTCCGTATGGCCCCGGAAATGGAACCTGTCGCCGGCCGTTGAAGCAATAGGATAAGTGTATGTAACCGTGCCTTGTTGGAGACGGGTCATGCAAGATTGTACTTTCGAGTGTAAGATCCACCATTGACAGATACAGGTAGATGTACACGTCACAAACTACCAGTCCCGCTGTTTCGCACTACCGTTCGAGGGCGCTAGCCCTCTAGACTGCCTACGGCGATATGTACGTTAGCTCACTTAGCAAACACCACAGTCTCCTACCTGTCTACGATGAGCAGCGTTCCAACCCACGACAGATCCCCTTTGCCCGTCAGGTAGCGATCCAAAACGCAGGCCTTGTCGTAGAAGATAATGGTCGGGCGTCGGTCCTCATCCGGGAAAATCTTTTGGAGTGCCGCGTCCACCTCGGCACAGCCTTCCGCCTCCAAGAGGGGCACTATCCCGCAGATAATGCCGCAAGACCAGCTCGCCGAAAGACTTCCCCAACTGCTCTTCCTTCCCAGTATTCCACGGAGCATTCTCATGTCCTCAGGCTACGCGATAATCGCATACACAATATCGAACGGCGGGCGTGGGGTTACTTACGTGAACTGCGACCAACCTTCCAGCTGCTGTGCACGACGTTACTGCAGGAAAGGAAAAATTCTGTCTCATGTGTTGCCGGACACCATTACCTCCTGGTCTGCCGACCCCTCGCCAGGGCAAATTCGCACACGTTACATGTCGATTCTGGAATAAGTGCTTGTACCAGGTATGCACAAATCAATCGTGTGCATGGACAAATCATCCGTGTGCATGCACAAATCAATCGTGGGCATTTATGGGTAATGGTGAGGACACAACACCTGCACCTGTGAAGGAGGCCAGTGCCTTCGGCTGCAATGTCTGAGGTCATGCGCACAAGTTGTGGTCAGGGCACCCTTCCTTGTGTACAGCAGTTGTAATGCCTAAACCTCCTCAACGTAAGCTGACATGCGAGGGTGGAACAGATGTGTGTAAGATGCCCACAAAATAGTGCCGCGTCAAGGGTGGCCGACACATGCCGATTTCTACGGCACCTCCTGGTCCAAAAATCGAGCTCGCTGTGCAGCGGTCCACGTAGCCTCCTTGTTCCTTCGGTTGAACTCGTCCTCCTGCGCCCTGTGCGCTGCGCACGTGAGCCTGTTGTCTTCGCGACTGTTCCCGCAGGACGGTTGCGCGACCCAGAACGCGCATTTGTGCCCGTGTACGGCGTGTCTCGTTCCTTTCACAGCATCGCGCATAGACTACTACAAGATTTTAAGTCGTCACCTGCGGACCAACTTACTAGCTCTCCGTCTCGTACAAAAGCATTCATCGAGTCCACGAACACGCTCTTTTCACCGGTAGCCGCACACACGTGTGAAGCTGTCGCCTTCACCACCTACTTTCCAATATGTCCTCGACTATGTGCCTGAAGGACAACGACCCCAGTCCTAAATTTGTACCTGCATCCCCTGGTCCATGTTGGTACTCCTTGATGGCACGACTATGGACATCCCGCGCACACTAGACCTCCTTAACCTTGGTTTGTTCGGTCATGTTATGTTTTCCTCTGTACTTAAACAAACCCTATAAACATATGCGCCCCCCTTTGACCCAGTCAGACACTCCGTTTCAGCATTAAGACTTCGTCGTTTCCGACATCCGGTGAAGGCCGTGTACGACCTTCACCTTGACACACTCAGTGGGTTGTGTACTCCTCTTGTTATTTTTTGCCAACTGCGCCTACCAAGCTATTATCTGTCACCTTTCCTCTTCTATTCTAGATTGCCTGTGTCCTAACCCCGACCTTAGGGATTGGATACTCTATTGAGACTGATGACGATCCCTCACCAATTCTTCCCATCCTACTCTGCGGGGGGGGGCTCGCCTTAACTCGTAACAGGCGGAAGGGATATTGGAAGGACTTCTCGCCGAACACGGTATTGGCGAAACTGAGGGCCAGATGGAGTTCCGGTCTTCTCACGTGGCGAATTACTGGATGGCACGAATTTTCGACGGGGCGTCCAACGTCAGCGGCTCCGTCGATGTCGGGAAAACATGGTGAGGCATTTTCCTCATCTTCCTCTCCGATTAGTACGGTAACAGCAGGCAGGATATATGCGCGCGTCAAGCGGTTTGGTTAGGACCCCTGCGTGGACACTTGAGCTGCGAGCGCGTTCTTCGCGGCCGCTACCTCTCTAATAACAGGCCAAGACGAGGCTAGTCGATCTGTCCCGCGTCACCTCTAATGTGTTTCCATCCACTTCCCTAACCGTGGCTACAAAAACTTGACTAACGGATTGAGGTACCTTTCCGTGGCGTTAACAGGGGCTATCCCGGGGAGCTAATCTCTCGCGCGCTGAAAAAGGCGAACATGGACTGGCCAGGGGAGGACGTGTTCGACCCCCGGCAATTGTCATGCCGTTCATGGGGGGTGGATGTTTCCGGTCCTGCATCGGACCCTGCATCGGTTCCTGCCTCGGGTCCAGACTCGGATACTGACTCCGGTCCAGACTCTGGTCTAAACTCTCGGCCTACAGGTAAGACATTAGTGTTGTGTAGTAATGGTGGTGTTCATTTTCGTGGATGGAAATGTTTCGTTGTTGAGCAGGTTCTTGTTTTAACATAGGAGGCTTGCCTTGTATGTTCTTAATGAGGGCCTCAAAACAGGTCGACGTGCGGGTGTTAATGGATGAGAGGCGTGAGTGATTTTTTGGTATAGGGGAGACTTGAGCATGAGTTCGACGGGCAGAAAACACAGCATGCAGGAACCTATCCCTAAGTCAGACAGCCCAGCCTTTCCTCAACATGCTCTCGGCGAACGCTTTCCATTTCTATGCCCAAAGAATGATCGACACGAGGTTGTACGCTTTCTACTTTCCTACCAGGTGTGTGTCTCAGGTATGCAATCAACGTTGGTGGTACCATTGAGGCGTACCACTTCTCAAATAAACCCTCACGCATACCCCTGTCCTGATTTTGGGTAGGGTGACCCCTGCCCAACGCACACCCGCCTAACCCCATTTCTTCCTGGAACTAATTGTTGGGCAGCTAAAGCGGCCGGAAATTTTATTTATGCCTGCCGCCTTGTCCAAGTTCCGCGATAAAATAGGCGTCCGAGCATGCGTGCGTATGTCGCCTGCAGAGTTTACTTTTAACCCTCTATTCCGGGCCGTGCATAAACACCACGTGAACGCTGGCCGTGCCGTTCAAGCAGGTGTGCTAAACATTGGCCGTCACAATGTAGTTTCACCATTAAAGTCGTAACCCTAAGCGTACCATGTCGCTCTCTTGTACCCTGCATGCCCGATGCACGCTCAGGTCGTCATACACCTGAAGCTATCCGCGAAGGTCTCGTGGGGCGCGCCCTGCACGTCGCCCTCCTACAAATCAACGAGGAAGAAACATCGTGGTTCACCTCGACCGGGCAGCTAGACCTCGTGTCCACAACCATCAGCCACGTAGCCAGAGGCGCGCCTGTTGCGAATGTAGTCGTAAACGACAACACCTCGGTGGATGCACTGCGCCGGACTACGGTTTTCGGACATGAATACCAGGGCAGATACTCTATAGACTCAGCCGAAATAGAGGCAAGAGTGCGTGAACTCCCTGCCGCGTCAGCGCTCAGGATGGTGTGGAGAGCATACGACGCCATGACGTGCGACTTTAACGATTTACAAGAAAACATGCACGGCGTAAAATGGTTGTCAATCGAGGCCAACATTCTTGCACCTGCTGGGGAGGGTTTGGAGGGGCTTAAGTTGCCCCACCGTTTGGTTGTCCTCAATTTTCACGGGTCCTTTGACATGTCGATTGAGGGCGTAGAGTTCCCGGAAACAGTGAAGAAGATCTCATTGGGAGGCGGCCCGAATGGGAGTTTCGACCGGCCAATTGGCAGGGTCCGCTGGCCTCCATATTTGGTGGAACTCAAGGTAGAAGGACAATTCAACCAACACATTGAACAGCTTGACCTGCCCGGCTGCGTGAAGTACGTATTTCTTGGAGGATGGTTCAACAGGCCTGTCGCGGGGGTGACTTGGCCAAAATCATTGCAACAGTTGACGTTTGGGATGAGGTTTAACCAGCCGTTGACGTC